CCACGTCTGTCTTTACATCGCCGGCTACTTATTAAACGACAGTCCCACCAAACCAGGCCCGGACCCGACCCTGGTTTGACTTGATCTCAACTAATTACTTCTGCAATGGTTCACTTCCAGATCGTGTCGCATTCAGAGACACCGGGGGTTAGGTTTCAACGTATCTTTTTTGAGGGGACGCACTTCCAGCCATCATTTTTTTTTTTTTAATCCTCACCCGAGGACATTCCCCGACATTTTGTTCAGACAGCGTGGGAGGGAGAAAGAGAGAAACATCGACGTGAAAGGGACACATCGAGTGGTTGCCACCCACACGGCCCAACCAGGGCCGGGGACAAACTGCAACCGAGGTACATGCCCTTAGCGGGAACCAAACCCGGGTCTCTCCAGACCGCAGGCCAACGCTCTAACCGCTGAGCCAAACCAGCCAGGGCCCACCCATCATTTTTTAAAAAATACGTTTTTAATGATTTCTTTTTAGAGAGAGAGGGGAAGGGCGAGAGAGAGAAACATCGATGTGACAGAGAAACATCCATCGGCTGCCTCCTGCACGCCCCCTACTGGGGATCGAACCGGGACCTCTCAGTCCACAGGACGACGCTCAATCCACCGAGCCCCACAGGACGGGCTCAACCCATCATTTTATTATAAAGATTAAGTGAGACTGTATGTTTTTCTGATCTACGTAACAGTGCCTGAAATAAATTCTTTATTCCACCTCGTTCCCCAGCTAGCCCTGGCCTGACAAGTTGGTGGCAGCTCCCGTCCGGCCCCGCGTTCCTGAGCCGCTCACCGGACGCCGATGGGGTCAGGGCCTTCTTCACGTGCGACAGCGGTTTTGCGTGTCTGTCGTGCGTGGAGCCCGTAGGGAATAACGTGCCCCTGGGAACGGTGATAAGCAGCAATTTTGGGCTCAATTTCTTCTCCTTTGACGCAACACTCATGAGAGCCCTCAGCAGAGCCTCTGGACAGGGGGTGGAGACCCTCCATCGTTTCTCACCCCCGTGGCTGCAGCTCGGAGTCTCCGCGCTTCCCACGTCACCCGGTGGTCGGGATCCGGCTCCTCGCCCTGCAGTGACGGCCGAGGAGGAATTCTGCCGTCAGCCCGGGAGGTGGGAGGCCGGGAAGGGAGGTCACAGCCAAAGCCCCTTTCCGGAACCCCGTCTCCTCCGCACAGGGGTCAGCAGGGGCCTCTCAGGACTTTCCCTTCTGGGGGGTTTGCGCTCGATTCTCATCCAAACCGGTTCTCCTGGCCACAGCCCGGCTGCCTGTGGGCCCCTGGGCGCAGCATCCCACTGGGAGACGGAAGCACCCAGGAGGCCGAGCGTCCTGCTGGGAGCGGGAGCAGAGCGAGGTCCCTTCGCTGTGACCCCGCTGAGACACCGAAATGACCTTGGTTCCCTATGGAAGTCATTTTGGTATAAGAAATGACCAAGGACTCACCTCTGTTATTTTTTTCTCCCTGAACGGCTAGCTAGTGGCCTTGTCACTGGCATCACATTCCTGAGATCCACTCCTGTAAAGCGGAGTCTCCCCATCTGGGTCGAAAGTGCACTGGGGAGCGAGGCCGCCTGAGTTCAGATCCTGGTTCTGCCACTTACCAGCTGTGTGGCTCTTGCTCAACGACTCACCCTCTCTGCGCCTCAGGTCCCACGTTGGTGAACGTGGTGAAAACACCACTTCGTAGCGTCTTTAGGAAGATTGACGCAATCATCGCACACAATGCAATTGGAATGCACTTGTGATTACTTCTGTTTATTGGGTATACTACTCATAGTACAATAATTACTGGGGAACAACGTTTAGGGACATGAAATTAAGTTATTCTTGAACAACGGATTGGTCCAGGGTTCCTCGCTGGGCTAACCAGACGAGCTGGGAGTGGTTGGAGACAAAGGGGCAGTTGCCGTGCACCCCCTCCTTCCTGAATCCCGAGCTGTGTGCTCTTCTCTGAATTCTCTAAACACCCTCAACTTCGCCCACCACACTGTCTGTCTTGTCTTAATAAAAAAAGGGGGGGGGTGTGAAAGTAAAAGGGACTGAAAACGAACCCAGAAACAAGGCCACCAACACATCCCGTATTGTCCCGCGTACAAATCCGGAGCTGAGATTTCGGGCGGGCGACGCAGACAGAGAAAGCCGGGCTGTCTCGTGACGCGTCCGTCGAACACAAAGCAACCCAGGTGCTCAGAAGGCCGGCTTGTCCTGGAACCCAGACGGGGCAGGAGAGCCCTCCCCAGGGCCCGGTGTCACGGACAGTGTCTTTGGGCCCTCCCGCCGGTGGGCACAGCGTGTTTCATGGGCTGTTTCGTATGAAGACCCTCCTGACCGGCTAGTGGCATCGCTCTCAAGCTCAATTTGGCGAAAGTCATTGTGGGGCGGCTCCCAGAGAACCGGGCAGCTGGATCCAGGGGCAGACTGAAGAACCAGGACGAGCAGAGGACTATACACCCTCCACGCCCGCTGACGTCACACACCATTAAAGAACCACGTGGCCAGGCCCCCCCCCCAGTGAAGTGGGGCCTGCTCCCCCTGGACGCGAACCTGGACGCTCCCACAGCACACACGACAGGGCTGGGCGGGGTTGTTTTCCGTGGAGGGAAAGTCCAGGTCTTGGCTCATGGTTCGAGAGCAACAGCACGAGCAGTTGTCCGGGGCCAGTCCACCCTGGTCTGATCCGCGCCTCTATAGAGCCTTCCTGCGCCCCGCCGACAGGGGCCTCCCCACATGGCAGAGAAGACCCTTCCCAAACAGCCTCCACCTCCTCCACCGCCTCTTACAAGACAGACCTTGAAACTGGGCCTTTTCTGGCCAAGCACGATGAAGAGCCTTTAGAAATACAGAACAGACGCCCTGGCCGGTTTGGCTCAGCGGTTAGAGCGTCGGCCTGCGGTCTGAAGAGACCCGGGTTCGGTTCCCGCTAAGGGCACGTACATCAGTTGCAGTTTGTCCCCTGCTATCTGAACAAAATATTTTTAAAAATGTCCTCGGGTGAGGATAAAAACAAAAACAAAACAAAACAAAAATACCGAACAGAAAACGGCATCATGGACTGTTCTTTCCCAGGGAGGAGGAAGCCTGGCCCATCTTCTCGACCCCACATCCCACCGGTGGGCTCCCCTAGACCACCCAGACCCCGCGTCTGGTCTGTCCCTTTCTGCCTTCAGAAAGGACCCTGGTCTTAGCAGGCTGGCCACCGGATGACCACAGCCCTCTACCACCCAGCCAGTGCGTAGATCGGGGCTTTTCTCACATAACCTGTGTGTGCCGGGTGGAAGTATTCTCCCCCAATTCACACCTTTCCCGGAAGCTCTGAATGCGACCTCATTTGGCAATAGGGCTGTTGCCAATGTCATTAATGAAGATGAGCTCATACGATAGTGTGGGCCCATCATCGAAATAACTGCCGTCCTTACAAGAGAAGGACAGCCCTGGCTGGTTTGGCTCAGCGGTTCGAGCGTCAGCCCACAGACCAAAGGGTCGCGGGTTTGATTCCCGGTCAAGGGCACGTACCTGGGTTGCAGGTTTGATCCCTGGCCCCGGTTGGGTTGTGCAGGAGGCAGCCAATCGATGTGTCTCTCTCTCACGCGGATGTTTCTCTATCTCCCCCGCTCTCCCCTTCACTCTCTCTAAAAACCAGTGGAAACATATTCTCGGGTGAGGATTAACAAAAGAAAAAAAGAGAGAAGCGCACAGACACCCGAAGGGACGACACCAAGCGACGACAGGAGGGGGGCTTCTACAGGCAGAGGATTCCTGGCAACACGGGGAGCAAAGAGAAAGGGTGGGGCAGAGACTTTTCTAGACTCCCCAGCGGGAGCACGGCCCTCCTGCCACCTCGATGCGGAACCCCCGGCCTCCGTAACCGCAAGAGAACACATGGCTGCTGTCGGAGCCGCCGGTCTGGGCTCCTTGGTCCCAGGAACGCCTCGTCTGCTGCCCCCACATAGCACCGTGATGCTGCCTTTGAAGAAAAGGACACCCCGATGTCGTCTGGCCCCCTCCTCCGAGAGGCAGTGTGACAGAATATGGGAGAACTCCAGGTCCCTGTCACGGAAGCTGGGGAGGCTCCCTCGAGCATCGAGGGTCAGCGCTACTGGGCCTCCGATGTCAGGTCCCCAGCTCCATGAGGACCATGTTCGGGACACTGTGCGTTTACACTCTGGTCCGTCCCCCCGCGAGGGAGTGGCTTCAGGGCTCCTGGGAACAATACCCCACACCACCACAAAAAGAAAGGAAAGGAGAGAGACGGCTGCCCTTTCCGTATGTCACAGCTGGAAACTGCCCCCTGGCCTGGGCGCAGGCCACACGGCGCTGACGCAGCCTGGAAGTAAAGGGGGACCACCTCACACCCTGATGCCCGGGGCAAGTATACTGTCTTCCCGAACCGGAACATTCTACGTCGTCAGGGAGAGTCGGGAGAGCAGGGAGACGCACCAGGACACAGGAAGGAGGACTCCGTCCGCTGTAGTCTGCCCGGTACATTTCCAACTCGGATCACCGCTGCTCCATTGAGAATGTTTTGCATTCAGATCACAAATATACATGATCCGCAAGAACTCTCCCTTACACACCCAGTCTGTCAGAGAGAGACACGCTCAAATCCCGCCATACCGGACCTCAGGCATCGGGGCTATCGGCAGACCCGAGCAAGGGCTGGGCCTCCCGTACCGGGGCCAGGGACAAACCTCAGCTTCACGCTGCTCCTGATTCTCAGAAAAGGCTGGAGGCCAAGGCCTCCCCAAGCATCACAAGCCTACAGTTCACCCCACGGGCCGGGCCATACCGACCGGATTAGCATAGGAGGAGCCGACAGGTGGGAACCAACATCATTCTAGAGAGAGACTCGGTCCCGGGCACAGACACAGATGCAGACGCTCGGCGCCAATGACAGCCACCTGCCAGCTTCACTGCGCCTGCAGGTGGCGCTGTGGCCAAGTGGCCGGAGAAAGGTCCCCAGCAGCCCGGCACCCACCTGAGGAATAGCATCAATGTCTTACTTTTTCTGGAGCGGGTGAAGAACCGGATGCCCCCCGGCGAGGTAGACGAGTTGGACGTGGGGGAGGACTCTTTGGACGAGGAGCGGAAGATGCCGCTGAAGCTCATGCGGCGAGGGGAGCGCGGCGGGGACTCCTGGTAGGAGAACGGGAACACGGTCTTGGGAGAGCTGGGGCTGGTCTTGGGCCTCACGGGGGCGGACACAGGGCTGGAGGGCCGGTGCTGGGGGCCTCTGGAGAAGAAGCCTTTGGAGGGGCTGCCGGAGCCGAAGGGGCTGTCCAGCTGCAGAGACAGACAAATGGATGAGGTCTCCTGTCATTGTCCCACCAGCCCCTCCCCCGTGTCTCCTCCACAGCACCCCGGCTGAGAAACAATCCCACGTTCTTCTAAAAACAGGCGGCCACCAGCGGTCTGGGGAAAGCACCGCCCCCCACAACAGGCCTGTCAGCACCGTCCACAGGCCCACTGACCTCTGTCCCGCTCTCCACGGGCTTCATGGAGAAGGAGGGAAGGACACGCAGGCAGCCGACCTGGCTCGAAATGACGTATCGTCCCCCTTTAACCTGCCTGTGGTCCTGTCCCCTGGCCCCACTGCTCAAGACCTCACGTTTGTCCTCCTGACCACCCGGGAACAATGTTCCCCTGCCCTCTTCCAAGGGGGCTGGGGCTCACGCCGAGGGGCCGGTGCTGGGAAGCGCAGTTTCCACCTCCGAGCTGCCTGGCACTGGACGGACAGGGCTGCTGACAGGTCAGGAAGAGCGTGAACAAGGCCGGAAGTCGCAGGCGCGCTGCACCCACGGCTTGTCCACAGGCTCCCGGGACAGGGACGAGGCCTGGTGGGGCATCATCCCGCACGCTGAGACCCTGATGACCACGGGTGTGCTGGGAAGGCAGGGGACACACGTGCTGCGGCAGCCTCTGTCCGCTGGGGGTGCCTGCCCAGACCCATGAGCCCCGTGACTTCTTCCACCACCAGAGGGCGCCCCAAACTGGGCTTGAGGTTCCTTAGAGAATGCGCCGCCCTCCAGGGGTGGGGTGGGGCGGGGCGGGACTGAGGAGACCAAGGAAAGGGCCTGGCAACAAAGCCGGCCTTCCTCCTCCCTGCAGTCCTCTCCTGCCATCTGCACAGACAGCTTTCACCCAGGCCCTGTCTCCAGGCTGCCACAGGAGACCACCAACGTAGGGAACAGATGCAGGGTGGGCCTGCAGGTGGGAGCGCAGGTAGATGTGCAGGTGGGAGCGCAGGTGGGAGCATAGGTAAAAGCACAGGTGGATGTGCAGATAGGAGCGCAGGTGGGAGCGCAGGTGGATGTGCAGGAGGGAGCACAGGTGGATGTGCAGGTGGGAGCGCAGGTGGATGTGCAGGTGGATGTGCAGGTAGAAGCACAGGTGGATGTGCAGGTGGATGTCCAGGTGGGAGCGCAGGTGGATGTGCAGGTGAGAGCACAGGTGGGAGCACAGGTGGATGTGCAGGTGGATGTGCAGGTAGAAGCACAGGTGGATGTGCAGGTGGGAGCGCAGGTGGATGTGCAGGTGGATGTGCAGGTGGGAGCACAGGTGGATGTGCAGGTGAGAGCACAGGTGGGAGCACAGGTGGATGTGCAGGTGGGAGCGCAGGTGGATGTGCAGGTGAGAGCGCAGGTGGATGTGCAGGTGGGAGCGCAGGTGGATGTGCAGGTGGGAGCACAGGTGAATGTGCAGGTGAGAGCACAGGTGGGAGCACAGGTGGATGTGCAGGTGGGAGCGCAGGTGGATGTGCAGGTGAGAGCGCAGGTGGATGTGCAGGTGGGAGCACAGGTGGGAGCACAGGTGGATGTGCAGGTGGATGTGCAGGTGAGAGCGCAGGTGGATGTGCAGGTGGGAGCACAGGTGGGAGCACAGGTGGGAGCACAGGTGGATGTGCAGGTGGATGTGCAGGTGGGAGCACAGGTGGGAGCACAGGTGGGAGCACAAATGGATGTGCAGGTGGGAGCACAGGTGGGAGCACAGGTGGGAGCACAGTTGGGAGCGCAGGTGGGAGCGCAGGTGGGAGCACAGGTGGATGTGCAGGTGGGAGCACAGGTGGATGTGCAGGTGGGAGCACGGGTGGGAGCACAGGTGGGAGCACAAATGGATGTGCAGGTGGGAGCACAGGTTGGAGCACAGGTGGGAGCACAGGTGGGAGTGCAGGTGGGAGCACAGGTGGATGTGCAGGTGGGAGCGCAGGTGGGAGCACAAATGGATGTGCAGGTGGGAGCACAGGTTGGAGCACAGATGGGAGCACAGTTGGGAGCGCAGGTGGGAGCGCAGGTGGGAGCGCAGGTGGATGTGCAGGTGGGAGCGCAGGTGGGAGCGCAGGTGTGACCACAGGTTGGAGCACAGGTGGGAGCACAGGTGGGAGTGCAGGTGGGAGCACAGGTGGATGTGCAGGTGGGAGCACAGGTGGGAGCACAAATGGATGTGCAGGTGGGAGCACAGGTGGATGTGCAGGTGTGACCACAGGTTGGAGCACAGGTGGGAGCACAGGTGGGAGTGCAGGTGGGAGCACAGGTGGATGTGCAGGTGGGAGTGCAGGTGGGAGCACAGGTGGATGTGCAGGTGGGAGCGCAGGTGGGAGCGCAGGTGGGAGCACAAATGGATGTGCAGGTGGGAGCACAGGTTGGAGCACAGGTGGGAGCACAGGTGGGAGCGCAGGTGGGAGCGCATGTGGGAGCGCAGTTAGGAGCACAGGTGGGAGCACAGGTGGATGTGCAGGTGGGAGCGCAGGTGGGAGCGCAGGTGGGAGCACAAATGGATGTGCAGGTGGGAGCACAGGTTGGAGCACAGGTTGGAGCACAGGTGGGAGCGCAGGTGGGAGCACAAGTGGATGTGCAGGTGGGAGCACAAGTGGGAGCACAGGTGGGAGCACAGGTGGGAGCGCAGGTGGATGTGCAGGTGGGAGCGCAGGTGGATGTGCAGGTGGGAGCACAAGTGGGAGCACAGGTGGGAGCGCAGGTGGGAGCACAGGTGGATGTGCAGGTGAGAGCACAGGTGGGAGCACAGGTGGGAGTGCAGGTGGGAGCACAGGTGGATGTGCAGGTGGGAGCACAGGTGTGAGCACAGACAGAAGTGTAACTTGGGCTCTTGCTGAGGGAGCCCTGCCTTCGTGGCACCTCAGGTGGGCTGTGAGAAGGGGGCCTCACCTTACGAGAAGAGTGTTTTTCTGAGCTCTCCAGGTCCCCATCCAGGAGTGGCATGGCAAAGGAGCTCAGGTCCTAGGACGGAAACAGAGCATGTGGTCAATGACAGTGGCCCCCAGTGTCCACCTGCTTCAACCAGAGGCTCCACATGGCTCCCTGTGTGTGTCACTGGCCCAGTTCTGATCCTCCTGGAACATCAACCAGTAGGGAAGGAGGAGGATGGCAAACGGGTGGAAGAAGGGGGACGGTGCCCCAGCCCCTCTCAGACATCCTGACCGCTTTCCACGTTCCCTTCCAGAAAGGGAAGCCACTGCCTCTAGTCACCTGCCACCCAGTCACCTGTCACAGGGCCTGGGGGGAGGAACAAGATAAAAGAGGCAGGGGCCCAGCCAGTGTGGCTCAGTGGTAGAGCGTCGACCCTGCACCAAGAGGTCGCCGGTTCGATTCCCGGTCAGGGCACATGCCCAGGTTGTGGGCCCCATCCCCAGTGGGGGGCGTGCAGGAGGCGGCCAGTTGATGTTCTTTCTCATCGACGTTTTTATCTCTCTTTCTCCCTTCCTCTCTCTCTCTCAAATCAATAAAGAAAAATTATTTTTTAAAAAAAGAGCAGGGACCAAGGGGCAGGAAGGAAAGGGGTTAACGGGGAGCAGGAGTGGAGGGCGAAGGCTCATCTTCGGGGAGTGGCTACGACAGCACCGCAGCTCCTGACATGTCGTGGAGCCTGGAGCAAGTGTCCAAGGAGGTGTGTCTTCCCGGGAAAAATGTCGGGGCCTCGTGGGCAGGCAGGTCGGCAAAGTGAGCCGCGAAGCCGACGACAGAGTGGCCGGGAGGAGTGGCACGGGGGTGGGTGAAGCTGGCCACAGACCCAGGTCCACAGAGGTGTCATGTTCCCCTCCGCCCTGCCCCTCCTCCTCCTCGCCCAGTCAGCCTCACCCAGACAGAAACCCCAGCCGGCAGCCCTCCAGGGAGAACCTGCTGTGTCCCTCACCGTCCCTCAGGAACTGTTCTGCTTTTCTGCTGTGGTAAATGCACATACCATCCTACCCCATCGAACCACGTTTAAGGGGACGGCAGTGTCAAGCACGGTCACTGTCCCTCTCCTCAGCTCCTCACCTTGCACGACGGAGACTCTGCCCACCCAGCCCCTGGCTCCCCCCGCCCCACTTTCCGGCTCTGTGAGTCCAAGTCCCTCGCAAGAACGTGTCTTTGCTTTGCGGTGACTGGCTTAACAAGGTCAAGTCCACCATCCCATGTCCATGAGATGTCTTCCCATTTACTGGTGTCTGCTCTATTTTAGCAAACCTTTCAGAGTTACCTGTGTGCCTTTCTTTTTTTTCTTTTTTAATCCTCACCCAAGGACTTTTTTTTCTTTTTTTTTGCATTTATCTTCCGATAGAGCAGGAGAGAGCGTGGGAGGGGGAGAGAGAGAGAAATGTCGATGTGAGAGAGACACACTGAGTGGCGGCCACCCAGACGACCCCAACCGGGGTTGGGGACAAACTGCAACAGAGGTACGTGCCCCTAGCGGGAACCGAACCCGGGACTCTGGTCTGCAGGCCGACGCTCTAACCGCTAAGCCAACCCGGCCAGGGCTGCCTAACATTTCTTTTAACCCGTCCCCCCCCCCCCCCAGTCCTCTGCTGCCTGGGTCCAGTCTGCAGCCTCTCATGCCCACTTCTCCCCTGGCTGCCTAACCGTTACCCAGTCTTTCTGCCTCCCCCGTTTCAAACCATCTCCAAACCTTTACATGAAGAGTGATCCCTGAAAAATAGGAACCTCACTACTGCTGCCCCGCCCCGAAAACCCCAGGGACTCCCCTGAAGCGCGGCCTGGCTCTCACACCTGGTCCGCTGGAACACGCTGCTTTGGACTACGTAGTAGACTCCGGACCCTGCCTCTCTGGTGTGGATTTATTTCAGCAGAATGCCCTGGGGGAGCTCGGGTCTCACTGGGGACGTGGGCTGCTTGGCCTATGGTGTGGTGCAGCCATCACAGTGACTTGGCCAGCAGCCCACGTGGACAGCCACCAGCTTCCCGCCAGTGACTGTCGGATGAGTCACTCGGCCGGGCCCTGCAGGTGCCAACCAGGCCCCACGGATTTACTGACCGGCACAGCCTCACTTTTGATGTGCTCTGCACCCCGCTGCTTTACCAACAGCCCATGCAGACCCTTCGTGGTGTTTGCAAACACGGCTTGTCTGGGACACTGTCTTAACTGCTCAGACACCCCGTTCAAGGCCACTCGACCGTTCCGGGAACAGCCCCCCAGGCAGCCCAGCTCAGTGAGGAGCCTGGCCCAGGGCTGTGCAGGACCACCGCCGTGCTGGGTGCTGGCTGCCACCCTCCGACGGCCCCTGCCCTCCTCTCCCTCTGCTGTGAGCTCCTCCAGCCTGCCCGTCCCAGCCCCGGAAGCCTGCTCAGAGAGAACTCCTACGCGTCATGCAAAGCCCCATTCAAGTGTTATCTCCGTTGGTCCCTATCCTCAGGAGAATCAATTTCAATTCTCGGATTTGTGTTCCACGTCCTCCGGAGGTGCCTGCAGGGCCGTCATCCGCTGCAGTCACCATGTACCCCTCTATTTCTCTAATGAGACTCCCTCCTCCGTCAAGGGCAGGAGAAGCTATTCACGCCTCTATTTTCGGCCTGTTTGCCGGCATGCAGCGGGCTGCAAGGCGTTTGAATTAACTCCTGGGAAAGGCTCCCCTCCCCCGGCCCAGCACGAGGGGCGCTCCGTGTGCACTGACGGGCCAGCAAACCCGCAGGCGCCCCCACGGCTCAGCTCGCGGGGAGCGGGGCGCAGCCAGGTGTGGGGCGCTTATCTCCCGTTTTAATGAGAAAATTCCTCTGGTCTCCAGCAATCATCACCCTCCATCGCTCGTTCAGCTCAGCGGTCTCCACAAGCGGAGGCCTTCTCGTAAGTGCCCACTGGCTCCCCCTCCAGCCCTGGGAACCACCGCGCCCCAGCTACGCAGGCCTGCGGCTACGAGACTCCCGTCAGACGGTCTCAGGGATGCTGGCCCTGCTCCTGTCCTGGGGGGTCCCGCGCGGCTGTTTCCACGCAGAGCAAAGGGCCCAGTCCCGGGCCACTGCGGCGCGCCCAGCCTGGCGCTGCGTGTGTGCTCAGTGAGGCGCCCCCGGGAGGTCCCCGGCCCCCGTGGCGGCCTTGCTGGAAGGCCCTGCCCCAGATTCCCGATCCTAATCTCCCAGAGCTCACCAGGAGGCCGGTGTGGGAGAGGCTCTAACCCTCTAGCCAGGGCCACAGGACCACGAGCGGAGGAATTGCTGGGACCCGGCTCTCAGGTTGGCTGACGTCCCAGAAGGCCAGGCTGCGGTGCTCGTCTTGTCTGTGTGCTTTCGAGACTCGAACCCCCGCCAGAGCCTCGTGCTCTCCTCACGGCCCCCCCACCCCGCGCCCCGCCTCCGCGTCCTGTCAGCCAGCCGGTGGCCCTCCCTGTGCTGGGCGGGCACTTCGCTGGGCAATGATCAGGCACCAAGATGCGTTTCAGGTGTCGTCTCTGCCAAGGGGCAGCTTTCCACTCTGGGCATCGTCAGTGGCACACGCTGTCCCCTGCACCATGCCCCAGGCCCTGGAGAGGGCCGTCGGGGCGTCTGGGGAAGGGAATCCTCAGGACGTGGGCTGATAATGTCGCCTCTCGGGAAAGCATTAGGACCAAAGGAAAAGCTCCAGGTTTGGGAAAATTCCTGGGATGCGAGCGGGGGTGGGGGGGTCCGGAGCTCACTTAACCCCCATCCCTACCCCTGCTCAGAAATCCAGGCGAAAGCCAAAGATCGGCCACAAAAAGAAAGGTGTCATTTGTCTGCCATCGGCATGTCCTTAAATCTTCCATTTGTTGCCTCCTTGGGTCCCTAGAGCAGCCCATAGAACTAGGAAGGGCAAGTGGACTCATCCCGGCGTGCAGACGAAGACCCTGAGGGTCAGAGAGGTTAACCGCCACCACCTCCTTGGGGTAGCTCAGCGGCAGGAGCAAGCACCAACTTGGCACGGGAGACGGTGAGACACAGAGAGCTCTTCCCAGAAATACGAGGACCCCTGGCGCAGGGAGACCTCAGGGGAAGCAAAGCTGGGCGAGGTCCTACAGCGGGTCATTCCCAAGGCAGCGGGCGACACTAAGGACACGTTTGCATTCATCTTCAGATAGAGCGAGAGGGAGGAAAAGAGAGAGAAACATCGACGTGAGAGAGACACATCAACTGGCTGCCACCCACGCGACCCCAACTTGGGGCCGGGGACAAACTGCAACCGAGGTATGTGCCCCTAGTGGGAACCGAACCTGGGACTCTCTGGTCCATGAGCCGACGCTCTAACCGCTGAGCCAAACCGGCCAGGGCTCAAAGGTTTACTTTATAATTAGAAGTAGTTCAGATGCTGATGTTGTGAAGAACAGAGAGTGCCGAGTATCCCCCCTCCCCCCAAGCGGCCACTCCACACCCGGGCACGTCTGTGCTTTGCATGGTTGGGGTCTTAATAACAGCTCCCCGCTTCCTTGACACATATTTCAACATTCCTCCCTAAGGTAACAGACTCCACACTGTTGACAACCACCCGATGTGTGGATTTGTGCAGGACGGGGCTGTTTCACACACGCCTCGGCCTCAGCTGACCGTGCCAGGGCCCGTGGGTCAGGTGCTGCCCGGTCAGCGTTTCTGGGGCTCAGTGTTCAACACTCCTCTGTTGATGCAGCTGGGGTACCCCACAAAGAGGCCTGACGGGAGCACAAACAGAGAGGCTGCCAATGTTGGGGGGCACGGCCTGCCCCTGAGGGCCAACCAGGGGGTTTAAATGTCGGGTCGGTATTGAACATTCCTGAAAAATGACAGGCTGTTTGATTCCTGCGGAGGAAGGAACACAGCTGGAGAGGTTTTCATTCTCCACCCCCGCTGAGCAGTCCCGAGGATACCGAGGCCAGCGACCGACGCTGGGCACCAGCCGCTGCAGGACAGCTGGCGGAGCCTCCCCTCCGGGCACGCGCGAGCCCCGTGCCCCTTGGCAGGCACGGGCACAACCTGTTCACAGAGACGGAGCCAGGGTCCCAGCCCTGTGGCTACCACCTGGG